CTCCATCTTCCTGCTCTTTGTTCAATCACAGTGCCCGACAGTTTACGCCAGACTCTCCGTGATTATTTCTCATTTGGGCGTTTTTATCAGCCTTTTATAACAGCATATTACGTGGGGAATATCTTGGCATAATATTTTTTTACTTTGCCGGTTCAGCTTCTCATGCTTTTCGCTAATAAAATAAAATATCAATACAACAATTGTAACTTATCCCCAAGCTTCAGAGTTTCAATACCTCAAATAAGACTCTTTAAATTTAAATCTCCAATTTAATGAGTCAAAAAAACTAACAAGTGTCTCCTTTTGTCTTCAGCTGTTTTTTTGCTCCTTTGCTCTCACTCTGACAACCATTTCTTTCTCTTTCTCTTATTTATCTTACCAAGGCAAACCGCGGCTCTCACCTCCTCCATCACTTCTCCTCTAGTTCTTCTCTTTAGCACTCTCATCTCCACTGTACTGTTTCTTCATACAGTCATCAAGTCTTCACTAAATATCTTTATATACCTGCGAGGTATATTCTATAGCTCGAGAGTTTCTATTATGTATGTATAAATCCATACATACATACTAATTCCCAAGAGCCATTTCGTTGGTAGCAAATTATCTTTTAATTTATACCATACATCACAATAGCCAACAAATATTATTCTTATCCGTAAAAAATTTACTAATAAGAAAATAAAAAATGTATTGTTATTAAAATTTTGTATTTTTTTTTAATTTTGTAAAAAACAATTTTTATTTTAAATTTTATCAGCTTAAACTCACTTGTGAAAAGATGATGCAGTAATCGTGCGCCCTCGGTCGGAGGTTTTTTACACTATCTTTTATTAAAAAATTATTTAAAGGCATATATGATCAATTTTCATATCAGACAGTATCAAAAATTATAAATAGACTTATTAAACTATCTTAGAAAATTTTTTTACCAACAAGTTTTGACTTTTAATTTTAGTTTTAAATTTAGACTCAAAGTTGTAATTTAAATTGTTGACTGTGAAGTCGTGTGTAGAGTTTAGAAGCTCAATCATGGTTAGAGTCTAAAGACCAAAGACTCTATACCTACTCGCTTTAGAAACTCGCAAGCTGAATAACCTTTAAACTCATATTACACAATAATATATATCCAAGAAGTAGAATAGTCAAAGTTTCTGTTGACACAGCTATTACAACTCAGAAATGGGTCTTGGAAGTGAGTAGGTATATATGGAAGTAGTCGGTGTTTCAAAAGTTAAAGGCAATCTACTGTTACTAATTTTCTCGCTCAAGTGTACCTAGCAACATGCTTTTTCCCTTAACCGTGACTTTTACGAGTTCGAAAACCGGAAGACCGTCATACCCATAGTCGAGTATTCGAGAACCAGAATGTAATGTGTTTTACCCATACCAATATACCTATAATATACCTTGAGCCAGGCTGTTGCTACTCCTGTTATTGTTATTATAGGTATTTATATTTATATTGTACAACAAGGAATACACTCGGCATCAAATGCAGCCAAATGTTTTTTCACTGATAATAATAAACACAATACATGTAATTTATAATACTGAAAAGTATATCTCCTGGTTGGAATACTTTAAAAACTTCACTGGAATTATTGTTAATGGAAAAATTATCCTAATACCTGACGTACACGTTTATTCACGATGAGTTAGTTACGGTTGTGGATTTTAAGCGGCCATCATCATACCAGGCTCATCGCGCTGCCTCCAGCGTTTTTACGAGCATATACCAAAAAAATAATAATAAAAAAAAATAATAAAACCTGTACTATACCGGAGAAAACCGAGAGCCGAACCGTTAAAGTGAAACAACACGAACGAGACAAATGTTTTATCTTAAAATATTAAACTCAACCTTTTTTTATCGCGTATCCCGGCTCGTCGAACTTGACCCCAAGATTTCATAAGCCAGCCATCACCTGTTCCACTTTCATTGCATTATTACTGCTATGCTGGCTATCCAAAATCGTAAAATTATCATGCGATTAGGCAACTTGAAAAAGTTCTTAAAGATTAAAAAGAGATTATACGAATTGAACTGACGGATATCCGGTAAAGAGATACTGAGTAACAATATCAATATAGTAGTTACAACAGAGATGTACTTTTAATGTAAGTTACCGTAGAGTCCCTAAGGCTTTTACCAGTGCTTATAACCGAGGGCTCGTCTTCTCTCCTCCTTTATCCGAATGAGCAGCAAGGAATCTAAGAAAGAAGGAAAGTTAAGTTTCTCGAGAAGAGATCCTTGGATCTTGGATGTGTATTATGGCATCGACGGTTGTATAGTAGTTGAAGTTGTAGCCGAAGTTGGTATGGGAGTTGAGACGCATAACATCTTAAAGGTGAATGAGAAATACGAAGGAGCATCCTTGTCTGTTGCATTGACAGAGTTCAAGAGTTTGACCGTGGGGTGTATCCTAGCAACCCTGAAAACTGCTCGAGGGGTTGTAAGACCAGTGACGTAACAAGGAAGCCTTGAGCCCTGTTATCGTGGATTTAGACGGTACAGTGTTCTCATTCCTCTTGACAAATCCAAGAGAACTCTTGATGGCACTTGAATAATACCAAAGCTCTGCTCTCTGTTCTATCTTTACTCACTAGCAAGTATCGCTTCTCTTAAACAATTAAAACAACAGCATCAGAATTACATTCAATTCCACTGCACGCTGCAGAGTCCAATTAAAAAACCAGATCTTAACTTGGATTGTATATTACTCTTGTCATTGTAAAACTCAATCGTCATCATTACAATCAACAATTTAGAGTTTACTTTAGTATAATTATCTGGAATCATCATCATCATCATCATCATCATCATCATTATTGTTACAATTCCAATCAACTTTGAAATGAATACCGATGAAAAAATTTTCTGACGTGATTATTATCCGGCTCGATATAGCATGAATAATTTATTTGATTAAAATTTGTGTTAAAAATCCCAACAGGTGGCGCATAGTCGCTAAGTTGTCTCATTTACAGAGAGTTAAGTTTTATCTAATATTAATTAATGTATCAGAGATCTAGAAAATATTTAAGAATTTAAAATTAAAATAAAAATTTATTTTTCACGCTTTTATCTGACTGTATATGAATATTACACAGAACGACGTTTATGTTTGTACACTAGTCATGATAATTATGATTATAGTACGTACTACGAAGCATTAATAAATATTTATTCAGTTGTTGAATGCAGTATAAAAGAGTATAGTATGTACTCAGCTTAGTCTATAATTTAATTCAATAATAAAACCTGATTCGACATAAAAGTTAATCATACAGTAAAGCCAGATATAGGGTATCGAGTTTCCATCACCTCGCAAGCTATCTTGATAATATCTACCACCAGTTTAAAATCATTAATACTCGGATATGAGTTAAGTATTATATGAGTTGAAGTGTCTAAATCCAAATAATAAGCATAACATAAATAATAACTTAATATACTTTAATTTATCGAGTAATCAGGCTTAACGTGATATGATTTGTCGTATCGTATGATTTTTAGTGTAGTGTTGGTTTGTCGAATCCATCTTCTCACTTGGCCAATATGACACAAACTCAACACATCAACACTAAAACTACTACTAGCAAAACCAACACTAGCGAGGAGTATTAGCCTTCACTAGTATATATTGTAGACGTTGTTGACACGTGCGTTACTAACTTGCGTTCAGTCAAGATTAACGGCTTTATTGAATTTCCGTCCCTGTACAACATGTCAGCTAAGACTTTCAGAGTCCAACTATAGACGTACATTCATACCAAAGTAGTTCTGCGGTTAAGAGAATTACGGTCTGCTTCCAAAATCCTCAAAGTTTATCCTTATGTGCGTGTATATGTGTTTGTTCATTTAAGTTTTATGCCGGCGAGATGGAAATGTGGTTAGCAATTTGCTGAAATAGAGAAAAAAGGTTACCACAAATTGCGATAATGAGCTTTCATTGTCTATGGCTACTTAGCCAGTTGTTTAGCGGAGAGCAGAGGCTCTAAACGACGCAACTGATCCTGGGTATCGTTCAAGCGAAACTCTCTTTAAGTAGTATGAGTAATTAAGTTTAAAGGATGATTGTAGAAACTGTAATAGTTATTCCCCTATTTATATTCCCAGGGTAATTTTCCTTCTCCTTAGTTTCTGCACCGAAATGTTATTCATAAATGATTGTTATATTCTTATTTTCACCGTATATAATCCCATATAGGTGGATGGTATACAAAGCAGCTTGTTTCAGTTCTTTAGCTCTTTTGAATGCACATGTGTGAGCATGTGTGGAAGTTGTACCAAGTGTAAGAGTGTGCGAATATATAGTGCACGTGCTCAACGAACCGAGACCCATTTGCGATCGAATATACTTGGGTCTCTCGGCCAACATTGTCAGATTAACATGGAAATCTACTCGGCGACCGGTTTACGCGGTTATCGATTTCGACCAGTCTTCAACTCTCCGGCACGCAAATTATGTTGACTTATACTTGTATTAACTATTATTATACTACACACCGCCGTCATTCCGGTCCCGGTGTGATCTCGAGAAACGATAAAACTATTTAAATTAATATTGATCGGTATTAATTCACTTTTTTTATTGTTTTTATTTGTATGCTAGCTGATCATTAATAAATTCCATTTGTGTGTCATATTTAATTTAGGCGATAAAGCCAATTTATTTAATGTTAAAATTTATATTTCTGTTAAACTTATGACACTTTTTTATCTGATAAATAATGTCGCTGATATAAATTCAAGTGACTTATGCTCGACTCGCAAAGTTACTTTTTAATATCTTTATATGTATTTATATTTATAGAAGTTAAGTAGATGTACTAATTTCTACTTTGATGTTCTTAAGTACATAAAATAAAAGCTTTCATATTTTCAGTAAATAAATATCGTTGAATATCGAGTTAAATTCTAAAGTTTTTAGTTTTCTGAATTATTTTTTTTATTATTTATTAACAATACGTTTAAATTATCAATATGCAAGTAACAATCAATTCTGAACTAAAACGTCAAACTGGGTCTTAGTATGGACCCTCCAACCCCAAGGAACGGAGCACGTATTGTAATAAGGAGGTTCAATTTTCCCAATTGATAGACTGGTATGATTAGCTCGGCAAATCAGGTAGGGCAACCCATTTTCTTGATAACCTCCGTAAATTGCTTTATCAGGGTGGTAGACAGAGCTTGTCCATTCCAAGTTAGATCCAACCAGTAGCTATAGTTCAAAATTATTAGAATTTTGATTAATAGGTCAGTGTTTATCTTTACGTACCTCGTATTTTAATCGATTTATTTCAAATTTTTCTACTGGAGCATAGCAATTATTCCAATCTTCATGGGCAAGTAGTTTTCCCGGCACTACGTAGTCATGTATTGAAATCCGACATACGTACAATGGTACGTACCAGTCATATCCAGCAAAAACTCCCTGATCTTTTTTCGTTGCATTTTGGTCTTGAATAAATTTGGCAGTAACTCCGGGTTTTGATGATAAAATTTCTCCGTTTTTAATAAAGTCTGCACTGAAAAAAAAGTTTTTTTATACCCGGAATACTGAATATTTTTTAGTCGAGTTTTCTTGTACGAAGTAAAAGTCAAGTTAAATATTTTAGATTTAAGAAAACTGGTATTTTAAATCTGAGAATACCAAGTTTTTTAACAGGACTAAAACTAAATTCTATGTTACCATAGCAACCGTGACGGTGGCGCCACTATTTTGTCATTTCCCTCCAATCTACAGTGTACGCGTGTTTTTTAGTTATTAGTTTACCTCGTGCCTGAGTCTAGTTACCTAAATATTTATTTGTGTAAATTAAATAATTTATAAATTATAAATAAAAGTATTAATCATTAATATTACTTCCCCTTACTCCCTTGCTTATATGGATTCTTGGATGCAAAAGAAGTTGTCAGAATGAAATTTATCATCTCCAACAAATTTCTAACTCATTTTAGCAATACATTCTTTCCTTATAATCAATTTTTATAATAAGGTAGAAGACCCAGTTATTTTCACTGGCCTAGTTGTTTGACACTTGCAATTTTATTCTAATTAAAAAAATAAAATGTTCTCAAAAAACCAATTATCTTAAAATTTATAATTCAAATATAATGTTTATTAAATTATCAGAGTTTTTAATTAAAATAAAATTGCAAGTGTCAATAACTAGGTTTTTTACCTTAGTAATGTTATTAGTAAATTAGTAAAATAATGCTATTAGCAAAAAATTGCAATTTTTTGACAACAATAAGAATTAAAAAGAAGAAAAGAAAGGCTTAATGTACTATTTTCCATTTTTATTAATTTTAGTATGATAGATTGTTTATAAATGAAGAATTACAAAAAGTGTAGTTTCTCATAATTATCTATCCTAAAGATTCGTGTCGAGCAAGCGAGGTTAAGTTGGCCATATTGATTGTAGTATTTTAATAATGAGAATACCAAGTTTTTTTATATCCAGTAAACTTATTCCTATGGATAGTAAACTTTGGTATTCTTATTTTAGGAATACTTTTTTTTTTAACCACAGGGAAAAGTTTTCTAGGAGGAAAAAAACTTTTTTTTCAGTGTGCGCTTTTACAAGTCCCTGATTGGCATGAGTACGATGTTGATAAGCAGTCCTCTGAAGATCGACAAGTACCACCTGGAAAGCTGTAACATTTGTTGTTGTAATAGAACCCCGAACACTGAAAATCAAAGTTAATAAAATTATTATAAAAGTTAATAAATAAATCCTTTATCCTTTATTATAATTACATTATGAGATATGGACACTTCCTTTGAATTCAATTCAATCTTTGTTATGTTGTCGTGCTTTTTTTTGGAAAGTGTAGTTACGAACTTTACATCGTAGCAAATCCCTAAGACATTACACATGTTGGAAACGTCAATCCATGTCTCCATCATTTTTTTGATTGCTGTTTAAACATCATAAAAAATTGTAATAAATAATTTAGATAATATTGTTATTGTCAATATTTGATTCAGTTTTGTGTGCATTCATTTTCAAAATTCAAGTATATCTAAAATTAAATCAAAGCTTACAGATAATAAGAAAGATTTATTCACCATTTATATTTGTGATGACTTCTGAGTTGTTGTAGAGCTCAGTTTCGGTGTATGGTGACGAAAACCCTCCTGATAAAGAGGCTCCAAAGAGAACACACAGGAGAAACAAGTGATCAGCACTCTTCATTGTAATTTTCGATTAAGTTTATTTGCTAGAAAAATAAAAATAAATTGATGATTGTTCAGCAGGAACAGTTTAATATAGGTATTTAATAAGTTACCAAAAATCTAGTACTTACATATTAGTCCGTCGACGATAATTTGAAATTGAAATTAAATAACTGACGGTATATATACTCGAATTTTTCGCTTCGGGGTGGGTAATTTCAAGTGAACGGAATTTTTAAATTGTAAAAAATAGAAGATGATGGCATCCGGATTTTTATTTTGATAAAAATTACCGATTTTTAATTTTTTGTCAGTCCACTTTTCTAAAAAAGTAATTACTATTGATTTTTATTTTTTAAATTCCTGACATAAAAGTTACTTAACTTTATGATTGGAAACTCCCAATTATTATCTACTTCAACATTGCCATGTGGGAGATTCCAAATGAACTAAATTTTTAAAAATCTAAATGAAATAGATAACAATGAATTGTATTTAAAAACTAAAATGATTATCTATAAAAACCTGCCCTTAGTAACGAAAGTTATAGTAGCAGTTGGCGTCTATGTCAAGGGTCGGGGCAAAAAGTCTCAAGTTTTATTGTTTTTAAAAATAACATAATTTTTTTGATTCGGTAATTTACAGCTTCAAATTTCAACCAATATTCTACTAGCAGTTAAGCAGATAATAGAAAGGTTTTCCTGAGGGTAACGTAAAGTGAAATCATCCAGCCGTTAGCCATATGTCAGTAGTGATCGGTTTAGAATTGAGTCAAATTACTACAAAAGCTAGAAGCATAAATAAATTCACAACTAAAAGGATCTATAATAATAATAATAAATAAAGTTAAAAAAAAAAACTGCCATCATATTAGAACGGTCAATAGACGTTGATGAATGACGAATTCAGGATTTATTAACGCAGGTGATTAATAGGAATTGGTCAAAACGGTTATGCGAAACAATGGAAAAAGATCTCTGTAATTAGCAATTAGCAATTAACGATTGACTGGTTAAGCCGTTTCATGAGCGTGTGGGTTGAAAGCGATTGGCATTCAAAGTGCTGGTGATTTGATTGCGATCGAATTCAACCAATAGGCAAGTGTATTAATAGGAGGAAAGAGAGAAAGAGAGAATAAAATTCAATTAGCACATGCGGCTGCGCTAGCTTGCTCAAAGAAAAGATAATTAAGCGCACTTATCAACTCTATTGTTTGACAAATTCATTCTACAGCATCACTAGAGTGTACTCTCACACTACCCACACTTTTCCACTCAACGACCGGTGAATAAATTCGAGTTTCCATTGTCTTTTCAATACATCTATTTCCCTCAGACATGATCGTCTCATTCATCTGCAAATCGATGATTCGTCACTGGAGATTTATCCGCCGAAATATCCAGGGATATATAACTTCTCCTGAGACTCAACTCAGAGTAAACTTTTATTCTTGTTCTTTTTCCTCCTACTCATACTTATACGTATAGCTCGAATGCAGTTGAGTACAGACGTAGACAGTGTAAATCAAAAAGAAAAACCGACGAAAGAGTCTAGAGACGCGGAAAGAATTTACTGCATCGTTACATCGGCAATGACATCCTTCTGCTACACAGCTCAGGTTCTACTTCTTCTTCTACTTCTAGTCGGGTCCCCGAGAGACAAACTTACGACAACTTTAGTCTTTTTAGTATCTCGTTTATTAAACCATTCCTCCTCAAGTCTTTTCCCACTTCTCTTCTGAAGCGGGCGAGTCAAAGGTCAACAGCTATTCATTACACCTCGAGGTCTGTTGCAAGTATATAGGATCCCCAGGGCTATACAATTCATCCATCGATCATCAAACACCTTTTTTATAGGCACCATCAATTCTTCACTCCGTTGTTGTCTACAGATTTTTTATTTCATATTTATTTACACTCAACTAAGGCTACAAGTATTTCTCAACAACGTATTTTTATACTATATACCGTGAAAAAAGTTTCTGGTGTCGCCTGATATGGCTTCATAAAGCTTGATCTGGTCATATATGCCCATACATATCTGAGAAAAAAAAATAAATTGTTACTATAATTATTAATTTTATAAAAAAATATATCCGTTAATTACGATTTTGTAATAAAAACGTTAAAAATTATTACAGTTCTTGAAAAACCTAAATATGAAAAAATTATCTTTATTTTAGAATTTAGCTATCTTATAAGGAGACAATTCAGCAATGATGCGCCGTCTGTTGGAGGTTTTTATCACTAATTCTAATATTAAAATTATCCATATGTGACTTGATGTATAGATAATTTTCATAATAGATCTTATCAAGACATAATAATCATAAAAATTACACATAAACATACAGAAAATGTTTTCATGAGTAGCCATAAAAACTTCCAACGATTATTCAACAATTTTATGAAGGTAATCCATTTATTTATATCTTTATCAGCAAAATAGATATAGAGAGTGAGAGGGTTTTGTAGAGATGTGTTTAACCTTAATCCATATAAACCAATAATCCCATCATAGTCGCAGGCATTAAGTTAGACAGTGGGGTTTATTAAACTTTTATCCGTAAAACAATAAGAGCATTTAATCTCTTTAACTATATAACGTTCATTGTGTATGTTGGTGTGAAATAAATGGTAATATAATCATAATGTAATGTTACTATTGCACCCGAAATGATGATAGTAGCGGCGATGCTGATGATGACGATGATTATTATTGAAAAAAAGATGCTTTTCAAGTAGAATAAAGCAGAGAAAGGGGAGCGCAAAGGGGATGAGACACGTGCTGAAGAAACGTTAAACACATTTCAGTCGTTTGTATAGAGCAATTAGTATTTATAACAAGGGTAAGCTTGGTAGGGGTTCTCTCTATCGTACCGTTGTATATGTTCGGTATAAAGAGTGCAAAGCGTAGAATAGAGTAGAGTAGAGTATAAGTATAGGACAAAATTCAAGTTTTGAAGAGAGATATTTTATCCCTCATATAAAAGCGTAGGAAAGAAAGGGGAGCGAGTGACGAGGAGAAAATAAAAGCGTGGTGCGACCACATGCCGTCAACACTCCGTCCCCTGGCTCCCTCGGCGGCGTCGAAACGTGACGAGATTTTCGAATAACACTCTCTCTACCTTTTTACTCTATTTTTTTCCTTTTCTGTCTTTATATTTTTCCCCAAAGACATTCGCGTTACTGTTTCATCTTATCGTCCAGTCTCTTCAACTCCAATAACTTTTTCTTCAAATAATTTATTTGTGATAGCAATAATAATATTTTTTTCTATATTTTTTTATTTACTCGTATCGGAAAGTTTACATAAATGCCTATTGAATTTCCGTCAAACTCACGTCAAACTTCATCTTGTTTACCCGGTATTGATTTCCAGATAATTTCGAACTTTAAACCTTCAATCATACGATGAAATTTATTTTCCAACAATATCCTGGTGTAATTTATTTTTTTGACGTAAATCAAAATTAAAACTTGGGAAAAAAATATCATAAAAATTCTCCGTTGATTTTTTTAAATTCAATTTCTAATAAACTTTTAATAAATATTGGCTTGTAAGGTTAAATATCAATCGTTTGACATTTAAAGACAGAAGATTCTTATTAATAACATTTATTGTATTATTTAAACATGATGATTATCGACTAAATTTCAAAATCTTTAACAATAGTAAAGAATACAGTCAAGGTGACAAATAATTTTAATTTAGAAAGTACAAGTTTAGTTTCTCGACAAAGATTCTTTTTATGTATTCAGTACTTGACATATGTTTGAAATGATTCGGCTTAAAATATTTTTGAAAGAAGCAATAATTTATTTATCAAAAAAAAATAGCTAATGTCAGTATCTTAATTATAAAAATTGATCATAAATAACAAGAATTTCTTCTGAAAAGTAATCTTACAAAAAAGCTTTGAGTTTGTGTATCAATAAATTAATTACAATTGATAATTCTCGAAAATTGACAATGTACTTATATAAATTGACATGTCATAAATATTGATTGCCCTGGGGGTTGACGCAAACGAGAATGAGAAACCGAGAAGCACGTCGACAGGTTTTCATTTGTACATACGCTCGACGAGGACGCCTGTGAGCCCTCCGGGGAACTATTATCGGTCACTGAACACACCCGAGCTCTTTCTCCTTCCACATTTCCACGCTACATGCTATATACCAATCATACATATACATACATCGTATATATCATCCATACATGAATAATAGAACATAGATATTTTTGAAATTTCTATCCCAGGAGCAGCAGATTGAAATTAAAAACATATTAATTACCCGAAAGATATAATAATACTATCTATCCGAAACCTAAAAAGTTAATTAGTTAATTATCATGCCTTGATGACGGTGAAAATAAGTAAATTACGGTTTGGAATTATACGGTGTAGTTCCGAGGGAAGCGTGTAGCAGGAAAAAGGAGAAAAACGAGTTTGTGAGGATGAATTAAAAAAAAAAAATAAATAAAAAAACGATGAAGAGAGAAAGAAAGAAGAAAAAAAGGCATGGTAGCTTGCCGATTTGTCGGCGTATTTGAAATAGCTTACAGAGCGCATCTAATCTTGGTTTCGCCTCTCCAGTAGAATAGATATTCTATCTGAGAAGAAGGGTTCTCGGTTCTTAGATACATAACAGATATATAAACGAACGGGCATGAAGAAAACGAAGAGAGAAGAAGTAAAAAGAGAAGAGATGGGTGGTGAACACTCGAGAACGAGAATGGAACGGAATGAAAGGTGAGGTGAAGAGCGAACGGAACGGAGGAGCGAGAAAGAGCAGACTGGCTCGAGAAATCGATGCTGAGGAACGACCAGGACGGGGAACCGAGCCTGAAACAGGAGCGAGGAGGATGAAACCAGAGAGAATGAACCGAGAGGAAAGCGACGAATCTTAAAGCGAGATAAACATCCAGCAGAAGTATCGCCGCGAGTACAGGCGAGGAAGAGAAGACTCTTGAGTCTGAAGCGGAAGGAGGAATGAGGATGGAGGGACTGGAGGC